AGATTGGTCCTTCAAAAATAACAAAAATAGCTCTTTCCCCTTTAATAACATACACACGACATAAGATTATGGGGTCCCATAAGACCCACAAACCCCTTGATTCTCCCAAAGAATCCGGATCACAAAAATTAATAGAACTAAATCCCTGCACTTCATTAACCTTAGCAATAGAAAGGCTTAGTAATTTGGTTTCTTGCGACAAAATGACATCCGGTCTATATTTTTTAACAAACAGCAAAACCTCCTGGCTCACATCCCTAAAGCCCCAGACATTCCAGCTAATAATCTTCATAAGGCCCTAAAAGTGGATCCAAGCTTGGCGATCTCCTCGTCATCGGCGGACAACAAACTTGAATCTCCCTAAAAAAATTTATCGCTTTCATCACGGATATTAACAATACCTCCTGCTCTGGATGTCCTTCTCACTGCCATACTCATTGAAGACCTCGTGGGCTTAGTATACTTCTTTGCTTTCTCCTTTTTCTGAGCTTCCCATGCTTTGGAAAGGGTGGAGCAAGGTCAAGGTGGAGCAAAGCTTGCATTACCTTCTGTATAGCTGAGGCCCTGTTTCTGTATATGGGGGTTTCACAAATAGAGCTTAGGTTATGATCTCATAGCCCCAAATTTTGGCCATCTTTTGAAATCTTTTTAATAGTGTTTAAAAAATCGATTCTGTCAAGGTACTCGGGTCTTGGCCGAGGCGAATCTGAGTAACTCACCTTGAGCCCAGCTCATTTCTTTTTAAAAGAAATGAAGACATGACATGGTATGTTTGATTAGCAAAAAGCTTCTACAATTAAACAGCTAATGGCATATTGATTGTGCCACTAGACATAGAGTTGCCTCCTTGCAAGAGATGTAGGGTTCGATTCTTGGAGCCTATAACTTTCTTTTTAGAACTCCATCATATAAAAAAAAAATACAGTCTTAGAAATAGTGATGTTTAATAGCAAGATTCGAACCCTAGCCACACTAAAACATATGTATCAAGGCTAACCACGAACATATATGACTTAAATACACCGGATTAATATAAATAGAGTCTATAAATATGTTGTACAGCCTACTCGCCTTTCCTAAAGGGCGAGGCCGAGTTACTCGGCCGAATTCGAGTGGCCTAGGTGGAGTCTTAGAAAACTGCTTTTTAATATAGAAGGAGAGAGAGAGAAGTGCAAGAACATGACCAGTAGAGAGAAGCACAATAACACAAACTAGTGTAAGAGAGAAGAACGAATGGTTTCATATATCAATTCCAACTAACAAACGAAAAGGATCTTCTAGCTTCTCAAAGTTCTAGTTATCAAACATCCCCTTCTACTAATTGAAGACACTTTAGCTTTTTTTTTTGACAAGAGTATTAAATATTATTATATCAAATGAGTCATTACAATCATTGCATTACTAAAACAAAGTAGGAGAAATGCCCCTTTCTTTGCTAGATCATCTGTCATAGAATTAACTTCTTCATATACATTGCTGAAAGTTATGATGTTGCCGGCAGCTATCTCCTTAATATGCGGCCAAATATGTCTCACACGCCACAATGGACTGGACACACAATTGCACTAGTCAATAGCATTCTTTAAATCCCCTTCAACAATCAAAACGTCCCCCCAAATTCTTATCCTTTTAATGATCAAGGTACTCTAGAAAATCACTAATCAAGTCCACTTGTTTATCAGCAATATAGTCATTTAATAAGATTATTTCAGTCAACTACCTCGTCATATTTTATTAAAATACTAAAAAAATTTGTTTTGAAGGTTAGGAATCCAAAAATCCAAGACAAAGTGTTTTAGTAACTTGGCCCATACAACAAGTTGGGTCAAATTACAAAATCCCCCCGCCAGCATATTCTAGATCCCAAATCCAAAACAAAAAACTTTTCAAGCTTGGAAGCCTGAACAAATGGAGGCAGTCTAAGTATTGGTCTTGGGTCACTTTAGTCATTACATATGATATAAATATCCTTGTGTTTCAGGTTTCAAACCTAGATTTAATGAAAAGCATATTGTGAGTTGGAACTCGGAACGAGTTATTTGCAACATTTAGCATAGGCTATCCAGGAATAGATTTGGATGACTTCTATATTCGATCTCATATCTCTCTCTCTCTCTCTCTCATGCCCCAAGGAACCCAGTTTCCCCTTGTTTCTACAGCTTAGAGCCTTCCCTAATGGTTTACTATTTTAGAGATAATGTTCCCATCCCAGATTGGATTTGGATGAGTTCTAGATTTCCTATTCGATTCGTGCTCCCAATCTCTCGTAAAACTCATAATGTGGTCAAGTCAATCAATCTACAACAAAATAGTCACTTAAAAAATATCAATTCGCTTAAGTGGCTCGAATATTAAAAAATACTCAAAATGCCCATGTTTTGGGCATGGAATCCTGAGAACCATGGATACTTTAATAATGTTACCTTAATTAAGTAGTCCAAGCCAAATGACATAAATATTCCTATTTTGTTTTAGAATTCAAACTTGGAATATGTTTTCATTAAAAAAATTTTATTCCAAATTTGGAACACAAAATGAATAAGACATAATGTCATATGACTCAAATGGGCCAAGCGCCCAAGCCAATTGACAAAACCAACCACCAATTGTTTTGGGATCCAAACCCAAAACATGTTTCTATTTTTTAGAATCACTTGTTCATAGTTTGGAATATGGAACGAGCGGGAGCATGCTAAATTACACATACTTGTTCAAGATTTCAAACCTGGAATAAGATATTAAATTATATGTACTTGTTCAAGATTTCAAACCTGGAATAAGATATGTGCGCATTTTTAGACAAAATAGTTGAGAGGTCCTTGAGTGAAATGAACATAATTCAAATGACAACTTTGTTGAAAATTTGCTGGATTGACCACCATTTAGATTTTCGGAGGTGGTTTTACAATTCTAATGATGTTTTCCCTCTAAGTTACCAATCAAAATTACAAAAATGGACAATTTTAAGTGGGATAGAGAAAGAAGCTTTAAAATGGACACTTTGGGCTGGGGACAATGGTACTATATGTACATAGGCATTCATGCATCATTAGACACATCAGCTAGAACTGTTCAGTATCATGTATGCCTTTCTTGGGAATATATATAAATGCAAAGAATTGGAGTTGGACTGTGGCACGATTTTTTGAAATCCATTTAGAACTTCGAGTTTTTCAAAAGATTTTCAACAAATCACCTTTTTTCATGGAATCAATGTAAACTCGTATTTTATCTAATTTTACAAAAAAAATTCAAAAAAACTCCCTCCCCATAACTTTATTTCTTCATTAACTTAATATTATTAAAAAGAAAATTAAAAATAAGCAAAGTAATAGTAGGAGTAAATTAAGAATCTTGATTTAAAGTAAAATTCTGTAAAACGTTTCACCAATAATTTTCCTTTAAAAAGTTTACAAAAATTACAAACAATATATTCTCCGAAAAATAAGAAATAAGAACGATCGCATATCTAAAAATAATAGGCAGACTTAGAAGACTAACACAATGAAAACTCTTTCTTTCTTTTTTTTCTTTAAACCCAGTGCATCCTCATAAAGAGTATTTTGTGTGAGATTCGAAATTGCTTAAAGATTTTGTATACTAAAGATTTTGGCAGCTAGGATTCAGCGTGAGATTTGATTGTGCTTTAACATTTTGTTGCTTTCTTTATATATAGAGAAGTTTGATTTTTCTTTTTTTTCTTTTTTTTTTTTATTAGTATATACAACATAGCATTTTGGATGGACTGCTATTTTACGTATTTAGGTCTATATTTTGTTTTAGTTAATTACAATCCTATGTTGAGGGTCCTTTTTGTGTTTTTTTTTTTTTCTTCAAACAATAATTCTATATATTAGTTTATAGTTCTCGTTATCTACTAATATAGTTCTTGTGTTAAGTATTATTTATATTTCATTTTATGCTCCAAATAACTATGTGATATGTTTTGTGTTGTGACAACAGAGTAAGCATTGTTGTTGAATTTTTTGAAAGTTTAAACAATAAATTGTCAAATATCACTCTAACGACACTAGGTAAGGTCATAAAATTAATGTTCAATGGTTTTAATGTATCTATACAATAACTGTCACTTGTAGTCCTATATTATGTCATCTTTACATATCCGATTTTTCACTCCGTTTTTTTAGACAAATCCAAATTATTCATGACTCTATAACTTACTTCATTTTTTGGCGATCCGTATTTTTTACCCAACTTTTCCCACCGACTTTTTGAAACAAAACCGGTTCATTACCGATGTTCTAGCTTGCCGATATATTATTATTCCCCAACTTGCTAACTACGATTGTAACTCCAGGAATCGAGAGGAATACCATTTCAAAAGAAAGGTCAGTAAACATCAAAACAGGCACCTAAAAGATTTGCCTACAGGATGAAGTAGGAAATAAGTTTCCTACAGAGTGCATGTACAACAGTTATCTAGATGAATGCGTCAAGCTAATGTACTGTATTTATGACAAAGCGCATTAGAAGGCATACATGTTTTTAAATGTCTCAAAATATTAGAAGCCTTTATGCACAAGTTCTAAAAACAAAGAGTAAATAATGAAAATGACATAATCTTCTTAGATGAAGTGGGAGACAACCTAATCAATAGAAAAAGTATCACACCTATAGCAGGAGTGTTTCAGTGCTGCACAGACCACAAATTACAAGTACTCACCCTAACCAAATCCAAGGCTCTTTATTGGCAACAAGGAGAGAGTGAGAGAGTTATTTCAAAATTCAAGGATTGCGAGGAGCTTGAGCAAATCAACTTCATGCAGATGCTGTTATTATGCTCAAAACTCGGTAGGCTATTTTTTTACTCTAGTTCTTTAAAGGAAAATAACTCAACAGCATTTTTTTTTTATAAGCACACCAATAGTAGGCAGTATCGCTTCCAAGATAATTTCTTTAGCCCCAATCACTGGGAAGATCCATCATAACTAAAAAAGCACAACAGGAATTTGCCTACTACTGCAACCTTCCAATTAACATAAAAATAAGATCAATATCTATCTCCATTGAAACCATTTCAAACGTATACACTCTCTCTCCTCTTGCAAAAATCGCGAATTAAAAGAAATCAAAGTCTAAGTAAGAGTTATTATCTGCATCAGTGACTTCCTTATCGATTAAAGTCACAGGCATATCCTTAACAAAAGAAAGGTCAATTGGCTTAGGAATATCAGGAGGGCAAGTACTTCGAATAAGAGCCCAGTTGACACTTTCAAAGAAGGGATGCTGCTTTATTTCAGCTGCCCCTCTTTTGTAAGCTAATCGATTCTGTGGTTCCTTTACAAGCAAACCCCTTATCAAATCCCTTGCAGCAAAACTGGCTGCAGGTGCCTCAGGAAATTTCAATGGCTGTCCTACAACATTGAACAAGGTGGCACGGTTACCTGGTCCCTTGAAGGGAGTCTTTCCATGAAGCAACTCATATAAGAAGATCCCAAAAGTCCACCAATCCACTGCACTTCCATGACCATCTCCTTTGATTATCTCCGGAGCTAAGTATTCATGAGTACCAACAAAAGACATGGACCGTGCACTGGTTGGCTCGGCAATAAGTTCAGGAAGGGCATCTACGTGATGGTTCTTCATATTTGACGTCTCATTCTTTGGTTTTCGCGTTTTCTTAGAGGCTGAAGGCAAGAAACGGGGTGCAAAGCACGAGGGTTGCAAACAAGATGGTTGCACACAAGCTGGATGAATGCATGATGGTTCAATACAGTATGCAGGGATCCTACGGGAAGGTTCAGGCCCAAAGGATGTTGACTTTACAAGGGTGGGGCTCACATAGCACCTTAATGATAAATCAAAATCAGAAAGCATGATGTGGCCATCCTCTCTCACTAGGACATTTTCAGGCTTCAGATCCCTATAGATAACCCCCATCATGTGTAAGTACTCGAGCGCCATGAGTATCTCTGATGCATAGAACCTGAAAGGATGTTTGCAAATCAAAGTATTCAAATAGATAAGTCTATTGGCCTTGCCAAAGATCCACAATATTTTAAAGTGGCAAGAAACTATCAAAACAAGTCATGCTAATAATTGCGTTAAGGTTTTATATCCCACCATTACTATCATGGTGAGCATCACATCTTGAAAATTCATAGAGGCATAACATGCAATGCATTTATCTGTAGATGAAAGGCTGAATTACTCTATGAATGATGAACTCAGGTGCTATAGGAGCCATTTGTGGTGCTATTCTCATTAAGGGTTCCAAGCTGTTCATCCAGAGAGGAAGAGAATTACTTCATGACATTATCACTAACACGACTAGTTCACAACACAACTTCAACACATAAAAATGATAATAATGGCAACAAAAATGTTCCTTTGGAGGACATCCATGTTAGGTTAGAATGGGAAATTTCCTTTCTGTATAATCATGTTATCTGCTTAACATCCAATATAAAAAGTATATTTGTGCTTTCCACCCTTTCTTTTCGTAAGTCCCTTGCTAAGTTCAATGCCAGAATTTCAGCACCCTTAATGATCCAGACATTGTAAGGGTTTCCAAAACTAAAGCGGATAGAGAAAACATGAGCTGTGACTCAATATTGGCATGAATGGACAAGGACTTGTTTGACAATGCAATATCAGATGGATGAACAAATTGGGGGGTCTGCTGCAAACTCGTGATTTGCCACCTAGAAAGTGTTTACAAATATTATCAGAACAACCATTGCTCTAAAGTATGTGAAAGATGTTTTGCTTGTGAAAAATAATATCACTGGCCCAACCTGGTGCAAAAGAGGTTTAGTGAGCAAGTCAATGGAAGGCTTCTTACTGATCAAGGCTCATTTGTTTGATGAGTGATGCACCAGTGTCCATCAAACAGAATAGACCACATCATCGATACCACGATGGCCCCACATAATATATGATACTGGAGCAAAAATATTATACGGAATAATATATTCTGAATATTTTGAAACCAGCATGCTCTATAAAAATGAAATAAGACTACCCTAGGACATCAATAAACAAGCATGTAGTTGAGCCTGTCAAAGAAAGACTGGAACATGAAAACATAGGTCATTTATTGAGAGTAAAGTGGTGATAGAATATGCCCACTAAGTTAGCTTCTATCCACGAGTCTCACAGGGTTTATGGTGGCTCAAACTAAAGGGCATTCACAAATATGCACTAGTATCATAAAGTTCTTGTGATGACAAAAAGAGAATATGTTCTAGAGTGATCCTCCGAAATTAAGGCAGGAGAAGCATAATTTTGCATTTCACAAGCACTGCAATGCTACACTCCTAATCGATACATGGAATCTAAGAGGAGCTACTAATTCGTTGCAATGTAACTTTATCCAAAAGAGCATTAATAAACCAAAATGGAATAATGTGGTTTAAATTATGGAAGATTCTTTGCATTATGCTAGGGACAGGTCATTTGGATCATAAGGTATGCAAAATCATGTTTGGCAAACCCAAGATATGGGAGCTAAATCATGCTTGGCACATTTTTTTGCCCAGAAAGCAGGTCATATGTATATGCCAAAAAGATGTCATAATGTGGGTTTGAAAAAAAAAAAAGGCACCATTAGCGTATGAAGTTTTTAGAATGCAGGCAAAACACATTGGCAAGCGGAGTGCCCATTTCTTCCTTTTCTCTTTCTTAAAACCCCTATGTCCTTTCATCTCTCTCCTCCACAGAAGCACCAAATGATTATCGCCCTCTGTAAACCCTAGGATCTTTAAGGCTAATCCCTGAGATTCCAGCAAAACTATGCTAGAATCTCACCGGAAATATGCAGATCTCTTTTCATTAAAGTTCTCCTCTGAACCAGAGGAACAAACCCAATAAGAACTCCGTGGATTTAAACCGAAAACTCAGGCTTTTATGTGGCTCTTTGATCCAGTCCTCACATGCCAAAGAAACCAGATACTACGGTGGTTTAATGTCTTCACTGCATGGACAATCCCACTTTCTCTCCTTTCATCTGTAAGCTCTCAGAGCTTTGTCCCTTCCCTTCTCACTGGGTATAAAACAGTTGCCCAATCCTTGTAGTTCCTTCGATTTCAGTTTTTGGTGAAGATGATTTTTGGAACGTGATTGAGGAGAACCTCGAGTTCTATGGCAAAACCCCAAGATTCAGAACATTCACTTTCCTCAACCGTCATCCAGGTATGCCATTGAAGAAGAACCCAATTCTTTTATTGGAGCTTCTATTCAAGAAGCCAAGTTTTCAAACTAGTTTTCATTCAAGAACCCCTTGTATTAATGAAGCTTCTATTGAAGGACTCACAGAAACTCGAGAATAAGCACTTTCTTTGGAATTAATTAGGACAACACAAAATTCTTATGGCAATTCTTTTGGTTAGGAAGTTCCTGGTTCAAGAACCCACAAAACCCACTATCAAGATTGGAGTTTAAGTTTAGATTACCGAATCATATCAAAGAACCAAGTAGCAATGGGAATTTTATGGGTAAAGAATTTGAACAAGATAGGGATTTCAAATGTTATTTTTCATCTAGGTAGGGTCGTTCCAGATCAGTTGCGTAATTGATCCACAATTTTGAAGGAAACCACATTTTGAATTGGATTTTCTGTTCCGATGGGTTTACTTTTTATGGGAATCTGTATATAGATAGCAAGAAGGAGGGTAATGCTGGTTATTGCAGCCGTGTTCTACTTTTCCTTTTCGGTCTCTGTAATAATGGCCATGATTTCTTGCCCAATAGGTATTACCAGAACAATGGTGGTGTTTGGGGAATGAGGCAGGGCCTTTTGGATAGGCTAGAATTTGATCTTCAAAGAAAAAAGTTGAAGTTTTAAAAATAAATAGAACTTCAAATATAAGAAAGCTAAAATTACATTACAAAGATTTAAGATTGTTCCGAAAAAAAAGGGAAACATAAAAAGAGCTTTAGCCTGAAAATAGAATGAAACTGCAAACCAAGGTTTTACAGACAGATGAACAAAACAGCGGACCTGCATATCCTAGGTTCCATCCAGAAGCTAGCCAAACAGCATTGTCCCAATTACTAGGATTTATATAAACCAGGGTTTCGCATAATCAGGACATGAATCAAAATCTAGGTTTGCACATGTAAGTAGCCAAATGAGCCATAATCATTCATGGAGAGAACTGTGTTAGCTTGTATACATACAACTTGGATAATTTTGCTAATGTGTCTCTATAAAAGTTTTAGTTAGCACATGAATGCATCTATTTGGATCCATATTAGAGATGATGTGATGCCAAAAGTTGCATTATTCAAGAACTGTTTCACCAAAAAAATTGCCCAAAACACCCCCAAAATGTTGATAGAAAAGCATGAGAATCCATCCAAGCTCCATCCATGTAATTGCCCCTTTAAGTAGTGAGTGTTTAATTTCTTCATGAGGATACTTTTTGTTCAACTCTGATGATGAGTATCTACGCCAATAAAAAGACTTTGGTCATTGCATAACTTTAAATTGATTCACTGCAGCTTGGTAAATAAGCCTACGCTCAAGAAAATGAGGGAAGAGCTTCCTCTAGAAACTGAACAATTTCAATGGACCTCGATGATCAATGATTAGCATGCTTTTTTCAATAAATTTGATATTGTACATTTCCCTCATGCCTTTTCCAACAAATTTGATATTGTACATTTCCCTCGCCTATCAGTGTCTATAAGAATCTCAGAAAGGACATGTATAGGTAAAGGAGAATCTATGGTATACTCTAGCTTAAAGTGGTCTGAGATCGTAAAATTAGTTTTCTTTTTTTATTCATTATCTCATATATACATCACAGATTGAAGCTCAAGCATATATAATATGTCAATTGTTTGCTTAGCATTGCTGTAGAGCATAGTAATGTAACTATGTTACTTTTAAATAATTTTATACACAGACATAAGAGTAACTGTCTGAAACAGAGAAATTACATGGCAACTGGGACAATTTATGGAAAGCCCATCAAGGGATTTGTAATGCTGAAACAAAATATGGGAAGCAGACAACCACCTAATCTCAAAAGTAAGTGATCTACACACAAAAGCCACCAATAGATACTGTACCCAGGCTTGAGCAGTGATCAAGAAAATGGTTGTTTGAAGCAAATCTGAGTTTCATAACATGAGAGCAAAAGACCACCGATAGGTTCCCATATCCATCTATACTACAAAGTTAGCACCATAGAGGAGGTTGAAAGCTTCAGGAAAATTATACATAGATGGCCACAAATTAATTGCAATACAGGTGGTGAATAAAATACCGCCATTACAGAGGACACCTCCCATCCTCCACCCAGCTTGTAGAGGTTCCTCAAGAACAGGCAACAACAAGGACTCAAAGAGAATATATGAAATGAAAAGTTATAAGTTTTGTCATCCAGGAATAAGTCCACAAACTACATTTGCTACATACAAGAAGATCTTACATAGGAGTGGGAATTATTGAACTCTTATTGTTGGAATAAAATTTGAGTTAAGCTCAGTTCAATTTGTGGGGAGAAACTAGGTATTATACATATAAAAGGATGCATAGCATAAAGATAATTGTTAAGTGAATTTGCGAAGAATGCAAACATTTTAAAGTTACAGACTTCATTACAGCATCACGAATTGTAAACAGTACAATTTACATGGCAAGAGAGTGGTGTTTCCAATAGACACCCAACTGTGAAATGCACAGGCGGTGGGCGAACCACCAACCACACAAGTAACCATTTCGTAAAAGCTTTTGAGCTCTTCCCAAATGCAGCCTCAAACAATGATATGAACTGGGAGTGAAATCTGTATCTGACATGAATAGAAATACATGTTTGAAATTTCTTTTTAACATATAGCCGCTCCATTGATTAAGAAGTATCATCAAGTTGCACCTATGAGGGTGCAGATGACACATATTCATCATATAAAAAGAATGGGAGGAAGATTAGGGGAAAATATGGTAGGGAAGAAATTATCAAGATGAACATCAAGACCACTGGGATGCTGACATCAACTGTCCACAGCATTTACAATTTCCTATTCTCACTAGTACATGCTTGTTGAGGCTTGACAGACAAAACACAAGGTATAACTCCACTTCCATAACCAATGCTTCCTTTGTGATTCTTAATCAATCCCTTATGAAAAAAATCCCTGCCTCCAACACTTGCTCTCCTTCTACGGCAAGTGGCTCCCAAAGTTTAAAGAATACAAGAGTTAAATCAAATCAAATGGAAAAGAACATAAAAACTTAAATAGGTATGTGCATACTAAATGAATAGGTGCATTGCAGTGAAAGGCATGTTCATGTCCACACGCTCCTAATTTTGTACTGAGTAGAATTCTAGCAATTTCTTAATGTGCCTCCTGAAATGTATATTTGTTTGGGATGGAAAAGCAACAAAAGCTGTCATTCAGGTTTTTTTTCAATTATTTTAAATAATCATGAAGCAGTAGAGATTACCAATGCCATGGCCACCTTTTTGGCAATAAAGAAATATACTAGTCACAAGCAATTTAAGGCATAGGCCATGCTAGAGATTATCCAACTTGATGCCCAAAATATTAAGAGGCAAGGGGGCCACTTGGAGTTTTGTTCATTGCTTACACCAGAGCATCTACTCGTGAGCAGAATATCAATTAAAACCAATGGGTACATTGGTGTTGTTCTAGCTCGTAGCATTTCAATGATAAGAGAGAGGCCTTCTCGGAAACTCAACGCATAGACCACACTAGAAATAATCCTACTTGATGCCCAAAATATTAAGAGGCAAGGGGACCACTTGGAGGATTTTGTTCATGGCTTACGCTACTCCAAAACAGCATCTAGTGCTCATGAACAGAGTATGAATTCAAAACAGTGGGTAGGCTAGCGCTGATCTAGCCTGTTGCATTTTGGTGACAAGAGGCCTTCCTCAGCAACTAGCTCCTTAGAATCAAACCTCTACTTGGTTTGATTCCTTCTTTTGCTCCTCAGCCTACGACATATTAGAAGTTGCAGCCAGACGTTGCTCTGCTCGCTAGAGAAGGTTCCTGCTTTGTTACACATTTGTTTTTCACAAAAGAGAATATCCAGGACTCGCTTATCATACCACCTAAGACCCCTAAAACTGTAAAACACTTAAAGAATAAACCTATAATTATAAATGCTGAATGACAAGATTTCTCCACAATTTAGGACATATCCCATGTCAAGGGTGCATTGGTGATAGACATGCTCCACCTTGAGAACCAGCAATGGAAAAAAGCTGGATAGCCAGCATAGTTGGAGTCACAGGGAATTAAAAGAACGCTCAGGTTATGATCTACATAACCATTCACATGCCCATGATCAACATAACTCCAGAATATGATCTATCCAATGTTATAATTTTTAACCTGGAAATATGGCAATCAGCAAACACCATGTGAAACACTTTGAGCCAATATACATGCCAATATAAGAGGTGGAAGCTCGGCCTGGATCGACCAGAGATAACTAAGGCTCCGACCAACCTAGCTCGCTGCCAGGATTCGTAACTAACACTTTTTAGGGTCCATAACAATAAAGGGAACTCTAACCCATGATCTTATAACAACCACACACAATCGAAAAAAAACATTAACAGCATTGCCGGTTAAGAGAAACAAGAGATCAACACATATCCAAAGGAAAATGAATTCTGATCTAACATACCCAAGAGAGGAAAAAACCTGTACATTACTCTATGCCCCTCCCCAAGAAAGACATAGATGGATAGAGAGAGAGAGAATCGGTCGTAAAACGAAAGACAACATGGTCACTGAACATTGGGCAAGTGAATAAGAAGATTTGAGGAATAAAAAGGGGTAGAAAGAGGGAGTGAGTGAGGGTCCCTGTATACCTCGCAGCCTGTTCAGAGAAATGCTTCCCGGGCTGTCGCTGGCGAAGGGTGTGGAGATCCCCTCCACTGCAAAACTCCATAACCAAGCAAGAGAACTTCTCAGTCTCAAAATGTGCATAGAGAGTCGGAAGAAAAGGGTGATCAAGCGATGATAAGATCTCCCTCTCTGTTTGAGCCCTCAAAAGCTTCTTCCTGCTTGCAAGCAGAGCCTTGTCCATGACCTTCATGGCAAAGTAGCACGAAGTTCCCCTTAGCTCCGCAAGATACACGCTCCCTATATCGCCGCAACCAACCCTCTTCAACAACCTGAAATGCCCTAACCCAAGTGCCCCATTGCCCTCTCTCGATCGAACAGAATGAATGGCCTCCCATCTAGGATCATTGCCTTTGTGAGGCTTATTAGAGGAGCTGCTGCTGCTGCTCTCATGGTGGTCGCTGATGGCGACGACGCAGGAGTTGGGATTCTTGGCCGAGGCATCGAGAGGGAGACCTGTGCTGTCGCTCAGCTTGGCACTGGTCATGCTACTGGTGGTGGTGCTGCTGCTGAGGTCCATGCTGCTGACACTCGAGCTCAGCGGCCCGCTCATGGTGGCGCTTGCCGCTTCTTCCAACGCGGGGCATCCCGCCTCATCCATTGCGGATGCTTGCTCCTCCACCAGCGATAAAGAAGACGATCCTCCTCCGCCACTCACACCACCACCCAACCAGATGATCCTCCTCTGCTACTTACACCACCAACCATCTTCATCATGCTTCAATCAGTTTCAGAGTAACGAAAGAAGAAGAAGAAGGAGCTTGGGTTTCGCTTCTCCCTCCATTTTTACTGCAAATGAAGGAGAATACCTCCTTGTCGTCCAACCAAAAGAGACCACCTTCTTAATTTTTTATTATTTTCATGAAGTTATAGGGGGATTAATTCCCCATACAAAACAGATGCTATGCAAAAAGTTTCCCATGCTTAAAACAAAAAGTTATTTATGGTAATGCACAAAGTTTCTCATGCCAGGGTGGTCAAACGAGAGAAACAAGGCGGAAGAAAAAATATAATTCAAATTTTGAGAGGGCGGGGCGTGCATGGGTTGGGTGGGGCGCCGCGCCCAAAAATTAACTCATTGATACGATAATATTGTACTACTGATACCATTGATGTATACCTCTACTCTCACCGTCAATGTATATGAACTATGAAACAACAAAGATGTATACCTCTACTCTCACCATCAATGTATATGAACTATGAAACAACAAAGATGTATACCTCTACTCTCTCCGTCAATGTATATGAACTATGAAAAAACAAAGATGTATAGCTCTACTCTCACCGTCAATGTATATGAACTATGAAACAACAAAGATGTATACCTCTACTCTCACCGTCAATGTATATGAACTATGTATACCTCTACTCTCACTGTCAATGTATATGAACTATGAAACAACAAAGATGTATACCTTTACTCTCACCGTCAATGTATATGAACTATGAAAAAACAAAGGTACGCATCCAGGCGTTGGGAGTCACGTGCTCGAGGTTCGAGAGCTGAGCTCCCGCCTGTACCACCACCAACTCCCAAATACGAGATATTCACTCACCCCCATCCCAAAACAACAAAAAATATATATATCCGACGAAAGTGACGTTCAAATATCAGAATAAGTTCCGTCGTAATGGCTTTCAATTACAAGTTATTGTTCCACTAGAATACAGGTTCTATGACTCCTACAAATGCGTTCTATAAGGGATGCCGCTTCTATAAGGCCTAGGCTTTATGAAATGAAGGTGCAGCCTCGCCTTGAAATCTTGTTCACAAAATACATCTTGTTTATAAAATACTTTGGGGATGAAAAGCTCTAATATATATTTTCATCAACTTTGAAATTTGTAGATAAAAAACTGGTATAGATCGTGTGGATCCATGAACATTTGAAAATGGACGGTCTCGATCTAGATAATGTGTTACAATATATACTATTGTTGGGACTTGAAATCGTATTTTTTTTTTCACAACCATATGATCAATATTGACTTAAAGATCTTCTAATAGCATACCTATAATTTTCGGTGAGTTGTGGATGAAGCTTTGCTTTTTTTTTCATGAAGCCTTGGCCTTATTTTAACCTTTTCTTTCTTTATAACTTTGGTCCGGTCCTCAACAAAAAGAATTCTACTATATTCTTTCTCAAATCTATATAATATTTTGGTCAAAGTCCTTGTGATTGATCATGGAAATAATGTGTGATGTTGTTTGTTCTCTTACAGTGGGCTTTCAAGGATAGGCAATAGCTTGGTGGTTGCCTATGCGAGTGTGTTTTCTCTGGACACCATGATAATACCCTTGAGGTCCTTGGTATGTAGAACTTGGAGAAGGCTTCTTTTTTTCTTTTTCTTTTTTTTATCGGGATGTGGCAAAAGTATCATGCTGGATGTCAACCTAACACAACCCACACTTCTTGCTCATTCGGACTTCGGGCCGACAATTTAGAGTTATAATTGTGCAACTTATGGTTCTTTCTCAAGTAATTTGAGGTGTTCTCTAGGTCAAGGGTTAACATGTGTAAGGCAAGACTAATAGTTGTGACCTATCCGCAAGACAAATTCGCGGGCTCTGGGGTCAACAATTTACCTTCTAAGTAACAATGTGGAGCAGGATGATGGTTAGTTTCTAATGTAACTTGGATCTTGGGAGGCCTGGTTTGTTAGGCCACCAGCAATGGTGGTTGCCCCTGGGACCTAGTAGAGGGTTTAGAAAAGATATGTGATAGGATTAGGATGTCTGAGACAGAGGTCAAATACTGAACAATAAAATTGATTTACTTGTCAAGGAAGGAGTCATGAAGACTTCCTTGTTAATGATCTGGTTCTCAAATTTGTTGAGTATTGTTTAGATATTATTTTTGTATGGTTCATACATGTATCAGTTTTGCAAGGGAATTAAATTTTAAAAGGAAAACAGTTACATGCATTAGTGCTAAGTCCTGTTTCTTGACTGTTTTATCAATTTACCTACCATTCTGCGTGTTTTCTTGGAATTGAGCAAATAATGCATGAAAACAGAAAATGGAAATTGCAAATTTGGACAAGATAAGAAGAAGTAGTGGACTAGTGGTGGGTGTACACTTCTGCATTAAAATCATCATCGTTGTCTAAGTCTTTTTCCAACTAATTGGGATCAACTAACAAAATTACATTAAAATAACATAAAAAAAGTATAAAATAAAAGTTATAAAAACTGGAGACCTTTAAGTGTAATGCCACACACATAAAAACATATGTGAAAATTTTCAACTCCAAAAATAGTTAAAATCAACTAGATCTATAGATATATGAAAATCTTGAAAATAGACGGTCTAGACAATGTGTTGCAAGATGCATTATTTTTGGGACTCAAAATCTTTTTTTTTTTTTTTCATATTCATACATCTCAATGTCGAGATGATCAATTAAAGGGGTTTTCAACATTTAAACAAGCTTTTCGGATGGATTTTTGAGATACATCTGTAATTCTACTTTTTAAGGTTTCAACCGTATATAAACTTTTTCCATGCAACTGCCCAATTTGAGTGGCCAAGATAACTTTAGTCACATGCCACTATTTTATTTTAATTTTTTTATAAATCATCTCGACATGCAATTTGAGGTATAATCACTCCTTGCAAGGGCATATCTGACAAAAATTGGAAAAAACTATTTTTAATAAAATAGAAGGGGCATATCTGATAAAAATTGAAAAAAAAAACTATTTTTAATAAAATAAAATGACCAAAGTAACTTTAAAATTTTTCAAGTGTATTCTGGTCATTTATTTTTATCAGAAATAGTTTTTATCTTTAGTAGGCCCTAATAAGATGTAAGAATGCTTCAAATTCTATATAAAAATGATTTAACAAAATAAAAATAAAATACTCTGAAGCGTTTGATAATGATAAGTACTCTATGGCTAACGACATTTTCATTAAAACTATCTCGACAATCCATTGCCTCTCGAGTAAAGGTTTCCCTGTAGAAGCTCTATCATTTATAAGAGGGAAGCAATTGACTTTCAAGCACTATCCCTCCTCACATGTTCTTTAGACCAAAGTTATAACTTACCTTGTGGAAGTCATCATTGGAGCTCCCATCTCCCTCCATTTAAGGGCAAAAATAATGAAAAAAAAAGTTTGTCCATTAGGCTAGGGATGGCGATGGACTGGGTGCCTAGGACCTAAAACCTAGGCATAGGCCACAAAATGTGTCTCACGGCGCGGCACCATGGGTTGAGGGGCTGGGTCACTACCACAAAGGGCCTACCCAGTCTTGCCCACCCTTGCACTTTTTTCATTTATTTTTATTTCGTGATTTTTATTGTGTTTGGCCCAGCCCGGTCTGACCTAACCTTGATAGGGCCAAGTTCGTGCCAAGCATTTTACTTGGTATGGGTCATGCCGGGCACAGGCCAGTCGTACAGGAACTACGGCCAGGTTTGGCTCAACCCTTTGCCAAACACAGTTACGGCTAGAAGGAAGGCTCAATATTGAATGAAGGAAGTCTCATCTCCATATCATGTGGATGGTGGAAGGGTACACTAGCAATTTTTCAATGGCTCAAATTACATACAGCCAACGACCACAAAAGAGTTTTATATTAAAAATTTTATTTTTATTTAAAATGATATTTATTTGAAACTTGAGTTATAGTTATGAATTAAATAAAATAATACAAAACATATTTTGAACAAAAAAATGGATTAACGTACCCTTAAATTGTTTTAGAGATATTTTGGCCAGATTTTTTATTCAGAATACCTTTAAATATTTTTCTTTTATGTATCATATACAATCTATATCCTAAAATTCAGATAAATATTATTTTTGAATAAAAATTAGATATGAAACTCATGGTAAGCCATCAGATGATAGTAGGTTGAGTATGAACAAATAAAAGTGCACCCTTGATGCGTACACATCATGTGGATGCTGTACCAATCCTTTAATGAAATCCCCTATCCTTTCCTACATCGAGTACAAGGGGTAACCTTACCATTTGGGTGCCGTGTCCCTTTCATGGAAGAGCACATAGGGGAAGACACAAGCTACATGATACATCCTTTTCTCTTAATTTTATGTTATTTAGGATGGGTGAGGTTTGCATAAGGTGTGAACCCTGTACCAGTGAAGTAAGGTGCACCTCAAAATTATGGAGAAAATATAGTTCTGGTGCCACAGATATGAAAATCTATTGTTATCTCCAATTATGAAATTTAAAATTTTAGAAATAGTGATGATCGAGCATATCTATACACACTTGAAAATCTCAAAAATTAATGGTCTAGATAATGTGATAGAAAATGAGCTATTTTTAAGACTAGAAACAAATTTTTTTTCATATCTACAAATTTTGAGGTCTAGATGATTGATTTGAGGGTTTTCCAACATATGAACAATTTTCTCTAGTGGGTTTTTTAAGTGTACCTTACCCGTACAGTATAGGGTTAGACAATATATAAACTTTTCCATTTAGGATATAGGAGCATCCCCAGGTGGACCGGCGCCTACTCTTTCAAAGTTCATCTCGATCGAGGGTCGGAAAACCTTGAACACAATCTGAAAAGAAATTTCACTGTTGAGCCTTAAAAATTATTCATCTTGTACATTGTTTAACATAACATTTCAATTCTTCAAAACTCATAAGCCAGCTTCAAACTTGGCAAAAATAAAATTTCAATGTATTTTAAGATCCAAGTCCCTTGAAAATTAGAGATGACAACATGAACAAGGCGACTCATAGAAAGGGCCGGTAATGGGCCAGGTGGCCAAGCTCCGGCTCAACCTACCTCTGAAAACTAGGACCTAGGTCATAAAATATGGGCTGAGGGCCAGGCTAAAGCCACAACATGGCCTACCTAGTCCAGATAGAAA